GTATCATAGTGTAATTTGAACAAACCACTCATGCCAATTCCTTTGAACAATTTTTCAACATGTTTATCAATTCCTAGTATAGAAAGCGTAGGATGATGAATAAAACGGGTAGGAATTACCTGCCGTGAGATGAGGTTGAGCATCCTTTGCCTTTTCTCTTGGGTGGTGATGACCACCCTCTCCTACCCCGGAATTTGCAACTCCGGGTCAATGCTGGGTGCTTGTTGCCTCGATCCATCACCCCTTACAGTTCTAGACCTCTTGAAGGCCATTTTATGTGAAAGTAGTAGGAATTGAAGCTTTCTCTCTCTTGGGATTGAGAAGAAATTAAGAGAAAGTGTTGAAAATTTAGTGTAGATTGTAGAGGAAGATGAGAGGAGTTGGAAAATGTAAGAATTTTTAAGTTTGGATGGAAGAATTGGAGGAGATCTTGGATTGAAGTGTGAGTTTAAGGTTTGAAAATGGAGGTTTTAGAGAGAGAAAGTGAGATGAAGAAGACGAAATAAGGAGAAAGTGAGGGAAGAAAGAAGAGGAAAGAAAATAAAAGGGGGGGACGGCCATAATGCGCGCTTGATCGGGCGAAGCTCGCCCGATCGGGCGAACTATCAGAATTTCAGAATCTCTGTTGCGCGCCTGATCGGGCGTGCTCCGCCCGATCGGGCGCGAACTCGAACGAAATTTTCGCCATTTTCTCGCCCGACATATCTTTTCCTTTCACTCGATTTTCCAAAAAAAGGCCCCCGATCGGGCAAACTTTGCCCGATCGGGCGAAATTAGCCACGAAATCAGGTCTGCTTGCGCGCCCGATCGGGCGAATTTTTCTACGATTTTTGCTTCACTTGCGCGCCCGATCGGGGCGAGCCTAGCCCGATCGGGCCCGTACCAAGCCCTGGAGTTTCTCCGATTTCTTTTCTTCTTCAAATTTTTCTAAGTCGTTTTACCTGTCAAATTCATACCTGTACAACAACACTAAAAAATGATAAAATATCACTCTCCTCACCTCTCTAAAATAAAAATAAAAATAAGAGAAAAGGAAAACTAATCTAGAAAGCATGAAATACGGGTTACCTCCGCAAAGCGCTGGTTTATCTAGGTCCCGCACGACCTTCTTACCAAGTACAAATTCTAGGATCCTTGGCCTATTGCTTGATCGGGTGGTTTCTCACCCGGTCTAGCGATGTTTAGGCTGCGATGTGGCTTCCTGACATAACCTGTGGGACGCCAAGTCGCCTTATCCGGTGGATCCTCCTTGACTTGGATTGGAGGATCTTCAATGCTACGCACTAAAAACCCTCCTTTGAACGAATGTTGCTTCAAATTGTCATTGCGTTCAACACGTGCAACTCCATCTGGCGGAACACTTACTGTAGGCTCAATTCGCATAACTTGCTCGTTCGGTTCCACTTGTTCATCCTCGAAACCAAGACCAACATTGTAGAGTGCTTTTTCTATTGCATTGACTTCCTTCTGCCATTTGTCTACCTCATCTGAAAAGGATGCAACACAAGATACCGCCTCCAAGGGATCTTTTTCAAGAGCTTGGGGCTTGTTAGAATAATTTACAACCACATTGACACTGAAATATTTCTCCTCAGTCATGGAGCTTTTAGGGGAATTATTCACATTAAAAACAACTTTATCGTCCCCTACTGATAGTGTTAGCTTACCACTTCTTACATCTATGACTGCTCCTGCAGTGTTAAGGAATGGTCTACCCAAAATAATTGGGGTTTGCATATCCTCAGCCATATCAAGAACAACAAAATCCACAGGTATATAAAATTTACCTACTCTAACGGGGACATCCTCTAAAACACCTAAGGGGTATTTGAAAGAACGGTCGGCCATTTGTAGAGTTATATTGGTAGCTTTTAACTTACCCATATTCAACTTAGAACACACAGATAATGGCATGACGCTAACACTAGCACCCAAATCACATAATTCATTATCAATCAAGAGATTGCCAATATGACAAGGGATAGAAAAACTACCCGGATCTTTTAATTTAGGTGGGGACTTATTTTGAAGTACGACACTACACTCTGCAGTGAAAACTACTGTCTCTACCTCACTAATAGACCTTTTTCTCGTCAATATTTCTTTCATAAATTTTGCATACGAGGGGATTTGTGTGATCAATTCAGTAAAGGGAACTGTTACCTTCAAATCTTTAACCACCTCCAGGAACTTACCAAACTGCTTATCCAAGTTTGTCTTCAATTGACGATTGGGGAAAGGAAGTTTGATAATTGGCTTTTGAGCATTCTTATTCTTGTCTGGAGTAGCCACCTTCTCTGGAGTTTTACCCTGCAATGTAGAATTTGATATGTTAGTATTATCCTCTAGCCCTGCAGGGCTATCAACTACATTGTTTGGTTTAATGGAATCAAGATTAGAATTATTTAATAAAATAGGTTCATCAACTCTGAGCATGGAGGGCCCTTCATAGTTTGAACCACTCCGTAGAGTAATTGCAAATGCTTGATCCGTAGGCCTAGTCGGCTGTGCCGGCAAGGCTCCCTGTTGGCGAGCTTGTAAAGTAGCGGAGAGTTGCGCAATTTGATTATCTACAATTTTATTATGCGCTAGAATTTGATCAATTGTCGCATCTCTGCTCTCCATGTGCTTTTGCATATTGACCAACATTGCTCTAATTTCCGCCAAAGAAGGGTCGGAAGATGAGGGGGGTTGTTGTGGTTGGTTCTTCTGGCTAGCATTGGGATGATAATATTTCTGATGCTGTTGCTGTGGCACCTGTGGTTCTTGTGGTGGTGGATTTTGAACATTAGTGCTCCGGTAGGAAAGGTATGGATGATTCCGATACCCAGGATTGTAAGTGTTGGAGTATGGGTTATTCTGCCTATAAGCTTGGAAGACATTAACTTGCTCCACGGAACTCCTGCAATCCTGCTCCCAATGACCTACAATACCACAATTTTCACAGAAAGCCTCATTAGAATTATTATTAATCGTAGAAACATTGGCTACATTAGCAGTGCTCAGATTATCTAATTTTTGGCAAATAGAGGTCAGTTGAGCTTGCAAAAAGGATACAGAGTCGCACTATGTTTCCCCTTGTTAGCAAATCCTCTGGGATTCCCATATTGGGAATTGTGTATCGCCATGTCTTCAATAACCTGACCTGCATCATCAACATTAAGATTCATAAATCTCCCACTAGCTGCAGAGTCTAAAATTATTCTAGAAGAATTTCCAATGTCGTTATAAAAGGCTTGGATTAACTGCCATTGTGCTAAATTATGGTGAGGGCATTCTCTTTGTAAGTCCTTGAACCTCTCCTAAGCCTCATATAAAGACTCATCGGCTTCTTGGGCAAAGTTCTGAATCGCACTCCGCAGTACTGCTGTTCTCTCTACAGGATAATACTTGTTATAGAAATTCAGAACAAGAGTTTCCCAGTCAGTTATACCAAGTGTAGTTCTATTTAAGCCATTAAACCACAATTTAGCTTTTCCAGTTAAAGAGAAAAGAAAGAGAATCTCCCTGATTTGGTCTTGAGTGAATCCGGCTTGCCTGATGGTGTTACAATATTGACAATAGTCGGCAATGTGAAGATTTGGGTCTTCACCCTTTGTTCCACTGAATTGCTTACTCTCTATCATCGTTATAAATTGAGGTTTAATTTCAAATTGAACCCCATCAAGAGCCGGAGTAGGGGTGAGATGTGGAAAATCCGTAAGCTTTGGTTGTGAATAATCACTAAGCTTCTTTGGAGCCGCCATCTCTGATTCTGTGTCTGATGATGTCTCTGAATTGCTTGAATCAGTTGGAGGATCGCGGTGATTATTGTTAGTATCACCAGAATCCGCCAGGATTTGCTTGTAGAAGTTTTTCTGTCTATGGAAGGAGCGTTCGATCTCAGGATCGAATGGGATGTAACCTGATCTGGAACACCTGGGCATAAACAAAAACTAGAAGCAAATATGAGATTTGTCTCAGAGAACTAACGCTCTCTGAGACAAAAGAGAAATAATCTAGACTACAAAAACAATCAGAAATAAAAATAAAACCGTTTCCCCGGCAACGGCGCCAAATTTTGACAGGGTAAAGTCGTATCCCCTAATAAAAAAATAATTACCTAAATCACTAACTAAGGTAGATAGGGAAGTAGGGTCGATCTCCACAGGGAAACAAGTCTTTTTACTCCTAATTAATTATTATAATCTAAATTATTTAAGTAACCAATATATATAATTAAGTATGAAACTAAACTACAAAGAATAAGAGTAGGGAGAAAACGATATATAAAGGGATCTAGGGCATAGGTTCACCAATAAATAATACTCCAAGGTAAAACATAGTAATCAATTATTGACATTGCATAAATAACATGATTAACAGGCTCTCGCAATTTATTAATCAACATAGATCTAACAGGCTCTCGCAATTTATTAGATCTAAGTCCTTATTGAAAATAGCCTTTAATATCAAATTAATATCTGCTCGATTCATCAATTTAATATTGCTATACTTTTACAAGCTGCAATTGTAAAACATTAAAACAATCCAATAAGAAATTATCATGCAATACCAACAATCAATAATAGTCAACCATCAATGCATCAATTAACCAGATTGTAAAGGGCTCTCGCTACTTATTACAATCACACAATTAATTTATCGGTATTAAATCTCATCTCTCGAATCTTGACTTAACCATTTATAAATTAACTTGCCTATTGAAACTATACCTAGACATTAATTCTCATCTCTCGATTCTTGAATCAATATTGTCAAACTCATGCATAAAAGATAGGCCTAATCTAGTCACAGAGCAATAATCCAATTAATAGGAAATTAATCTAGTATTGATAATCAACAACAATAAATTACCCCTTCATATTATTTATTAGATCCCCATAAACCCTAGAAATTAAACTACTCACACATATTAAAATCTAAACGAATCAAAGTAATAAAATAAATCATGATGAAAGGAATAAAATAAATAACTAAGATTAAGGGAAGAGAAATCGTTACCAAAATAAATCTGGAATTAATGAAAGAATTAAGAACAAAGGTTTAGAGAAAGATTAAGAGAGAGAAAACTAAGTAGAGAGAGAAAGTCTAAGAGAGAAGATAAGTCCTAATAATCGTCCTAAAAACGTACTTAAACAAAACTAAAAATAACTCCTAATTAGAAACTAATTGCTCGACAAAAGAGCCTTTCCAGAAACACGCGCCCGATCGGGCGCGCCTTTTTGCTAGCACACTCTTCTCAGCAGCACCGCCCGATCGTGCTAAGCCTCGCACGATCGGGCGCGCCTTGGGCCACACATCCTTGGCTTGCTGCGCATCTTGCCCGATCGAGCTAAGCTTGCCCGATCGGGCCCTTGTGGCTCCTCGAGGCTTTGGAATTCCGATTGGGTTCGACTCCTCGGCCCAATCCGGATCTACTCTTCGGGTCTTGAATACTCGGTCCAAACCTCGGTATTCCAAATACCGAACCCTTAATCACCGGCTCGATGGTTCTAGTCGGCCTTGGGCTTCAACGACGATCGTGCTCCTCCAATGCTCGTAGTTGCTTCATAAAAATCCCGGGAAAATGCTCCAAAAGTGCAATTCCCTGCAAAACTCAACCAAAACTACGAAAACACTAGAAAACACATATTAGTAATAAAAGTGGCTCTAAAGAGCCAAAAACACTACTAATTATGACCAAGGGACGGGGGTAAAATACTATATAAAATGGACACATCAAACACACCTTCATGGCACGCACTTTGAGGGAAAAATTAGGTGATATAACGGACAAATAAAGCAAAATAATCTATAAATGTAGTAGTTAACTCTTCTCTATTCTGGGTGTTGGAATAATTTTGATAAATTTTCTCGTTTACCTACTATAATTAACTCCTAAAAAAGCATGTCCAAAGGTTGTATTGCACATAAAAGAAAACAGAGGAAGTATATGAAATAGTATCTGTATACTTCCAAGAAGAACAACCAAAAATTCCATCAAAGTTCGAGAAATTAACCAACTTCTCCGAGAGAGAATGCGGAAAAATTCCTACTTCTGGGAGAATGATGCATTGACATCAACATTCACGTATCTACAAACTTAATGCTGGCTGTTAAGAGATTAGGGAGAAATATACTCCACAAAATTGTAAATAAGACAAAAAGATCAAGCATAGTTTTTTTTGGATGCTCCAACATGAGCTGCATAATTAAAAATTTCAGCATTTACAAAGAATAGAGGTAAGTACAGCGACTAACCCTCGTTTAGTTTCGTTTCCGCAACTTGAAGCCCTGAAACTGATGATAAAACTGCAAAAGAAAGAAAAGAAGATACTTACTTTATAGTACTCCAAATTCGCATTAATATTCAACATATACTCTTTTTTTCATAACTTTAGAGCTTAGACTTACTACATAAGTAAAAGACTGCAAATAAAACTACGAAGTCTTTAACATACATAAACGTGCAGTATCGATAACATGCTACACTATTATGTAATCGGGTCGGGAAGATAAAGGTTACGCAACTAACAGAGAGACTGCTTTCAAGACTCCATTTTCTTTTGCATGTCTAGCTCGAGTTCCAGGCCAACCTGCAAATGCCCGTACCTAAAAATGTCGTCATGATTGACTCAAATCATACAAAAAAGCACAAATTAGTACTACCTTATTATGCAGGACAGTAGTGTCTTGATCAAACGATAGCCATGATTCTTCGGGGGTAATCTGCACAAAGTTATCACCTCTTAACTTAGCTTGCATGGAGAAAAGATCCCAACATGGCATAACATAAAGTAACCGTATAGATACCTTTGGAGCTAAGGTAGCTTTAGAATCATCTTCAGGTTGTGCTTTAGTTGTTGCTGTACCGTCAATTATTGAAGGAAGCTCGTGCAACAAAAGTTTTGAGCCTATGAAGCATAACACAACAGCATCAGAAATGTACTTGCTATTGGGTTGAGGAAGATTTGTTTACTCAGTCTTGTATGAAAAGGATAGAGGCAGCATATAAAATTTACATGAGTACAATAATTTAAGATACCATCCACTTTGTCAAAAGCATCAAATTAATATTGGTTTAGCAATGTAATTATATCGTATGCTAGATGATGAAAAGTTAAATTTGAAAGAGGATTTGGGAACAACAATATCCTAGTCACCATTAATTCGAATACAGGTTATAATTCCATACTTACATATAAGTTACTTGTGCAGAAATGAAGCACCTATTTCACAATAAAACTTCACATTATGCATAATAACATGTACAATATATAGAAGCTGCAAAGCAGAGGCAGCTGAGATCAATAACAGCTCACGTCAAGGCTAACATATCGGCTATTTAAGCAAGAATTTAGAAATTTTGCAGCAAGTATTTGATATATAAAGAAGTTGACAGCCGACACACCAAGATCAAAGAGAAAATCCAGTAAATCTGGTGCCTGCATGCAAATTGGTGAAAATATATTAATTAGATGATTGTGCTCATATATTGAAAATTAGATACACCATGTTCCATAGAACGTATCTATACCTAACCATCACATAGATAATTACTGAAGTAAGAGCAAACATAAAAACATTGTGGTATTTACAACAAACCATTATGTCTTATAAGACTTCAGAGCTACAATATAATTCTTGATGCAAATAAAAAATTAATATACATCCATTCCTAAGTAATTTCACCTTCTTAATAATCTATATAAAGACTCAGATTCTACATACAACTCCAAATCAATAATTGAGTTTCATGATAAGTATAAGTACCTTAATATCCTCATCCACACCAACTTTTTGAGATGCAATGATAGGTCCAGCATCCAGTGCTCTAACAGTGAAAGCTAATGAGACTCCAGTTTCCCTAACACCATTCTGCATAAATTGAAACACCCAAACACATACATATCAAATATTTGCATGCATGATGGTAAATAGAAAAGAAACATAGATTATAATTAAGAAGAATTACCAAAAAAACATAGAAAAGAAAGGAAAAAAGAGGAGAAATAACCAAAAAAAAAAAAAAAACACAGTCAACATTCATATTAAAGATTAGATGAAAATTGAACCAATTTGAACAAGAAAGACAAAGGAGAGATAGAATTGTACCTGGAGATCAATAATTCTGTTACAAATCAGACAATAATACTACTAACAATAAAAAAAAAAAAAATCAACCTAAAACAAACGATAAATCACTCAAATTAAACCCAAAAAAACCACCACACAATCAAAGAAGGCACTAAAATTCAACCCAAAAAACGAAAATAAATAGAACAAATAAACCCTTAAAAAATCGAAAAACTATCGAACAAATAAACCCAATAAATCGAAAACAAATCGATCAAATAAACCCCATTAAAAACGAAACAATTTCGCACAAATACACCCACAAAGATTCAACCCAAAAAATTCGAAAACATAGAACATATATGCAAAAAATCCACGACAATCGAACAAGTAAAGCCTAAAAATTTGAAACGAAATCGAGAAAGAGAAACGAGATCAAACTTGATGAATGTGACGATCGGAAAATCTTCCACAACCTCAGAGTCGAAAAATCGTCGAAAGGGATGATAATACAGAGGTTTCTCTCTCTAGGTTTCTCTCTCCTTCCCCTTTTTCCTTCTAAGATGAAAATATAGAGGGGGAAAATGGGAACAACAGCAGAGTAAAGGCCAAGTAAGGGTGAGAGAGTAAGTCGGTTGGAGAGCAGCATGCAACAAACAATAGGAATTAGGGGCAAAATGGGCGATGCATTCATGTTGGGGGCAAGGCTGTAATAGCACCATAAGGTACTATTCACCAGCTACAGTAAATTCTTTTGCATGTTTATAAGGGTTATAGATTTTCGTTTAAGCGCTTGCTTTTGAACCGATTGTAATGAGCCAGTATTTTAGGCGCTTAAGCTAAGTGAGATGATTTTTTGTCAGGTCAATCACTTACTACGATTGTAATCAAACTGACTACTTAATCATGTCAAATTGCTTATAGGGGCTAACTGGCGTACCAAGGAACCCGAAATTGCTGTACGAGGTCGAAATCACCTTTCTGATAGGCTTCGAGCTCTGTCGCTGCTGAAATATCTCTGGCGCCAGGAATTGGAGTAGGGTCTTCCCTATTCTGCTGCACCTGTATTTATTTTGACTATAGAACTTTGCCAAATTCTTTAGCCTTCTTAGGGTTGACTTAAGGTTTAGCATTGCTTGACTCATCGACTTGACACAACTCAAGGTATAAACTTGACTCTCTATGATTGACTCGAGGTTGACTCAACTTGAAGTGAAATGACACATGTGTTAGACTCAAATCAAAGTGATATGACACGACATGACTCAATGTGAACATGACTCGTGTGTGCATTGTAATGTGATCGTGCGACTCGAAAATGCAGAAAAGCAAAAATTTTCCGTCATTTTTGTGGAGGGTACCGACTTTCTCCCGAAAAAGAAAGACGCGAAATAAGAATCGAAGTGTGAAGATGCATGTTGAATGAGCTTAGTCAAATGTTGTTTGATACTTGTAGGGAATAAATTTCAAGCGTTATACCCCTAACTTGAAACCCACTGTGATCATACACTAAAGTACGGTGGCGTCCAAAAGGGAAGAAGATAGAGTAAAAGAGTCGCCAACAAGTTTTAGGAACTTGTAAACCGTTCACAGGGTGAAGGTTACACCCCTTAACGATCCAAGAGATCGTCAACTCCATAAGGTCTAGAACCAAATAAGGGTTCGGGGATGAAGGTACAAATCCAACCTAAAAGAGATTGAACCTGCCCTAATAATAGGCCTCTACTTTATTCTGATCGTATTCATGTGCGCTTTTTACTTAACATGCAATCATTAGAATTAACCTAAACCTGTTTATCTAGGTTGGTTGAATTTAATGCACAAACAAATCTATTATTGGCGATCACTTGAATTATAATCATATTAACCCTAACAAGATTATTAAATATCTTATTAAGCGTGATTACAAGTACTAAATTCCCTTTAAACATGCAATAAAGGCGTGATCAAGCAAGAACAATAGATATCAAGCAACATAATAAATAATAATAAATATCATGACAATAATTATAACCATTAAAACAATAATCATCATAAATAAAATAAACATCATCAAAATAATAATAATAATCATAAATTATAACAATTATAATCATAATCATGTTCATGTTAATATTAAAGCATAATAATAGCAAGATCCTAGGCATGATACTAACAAGATTAATAACAAACCCTAGCATGTCACTAAGCAATAAAAATCAAATCTTTAACCCTAACATGATACTAACAATCATAAATATTAGGAAGAACATAGGAAGCATCGCAGGAATCATATTTAATATTAAAATTACCCTAGACATGATACTAGGAATATCATAATAACAATGTAAACATGATTTCTACATCATAACATCAATAAAATCATTAAAGTACTTACTTTGATGCCTCGTACCTCTTTCTAATAACAAAATACACACGTTAGTAACTTCAAGGAAAATAATATTCAAAACAATTAAATTAAATAATTGAAATAGAGATTTGGGACCAAACCCTCAGAAATTAAACATTTCACGTCTAGGGCGAAGGCAACTTCGAATATGGCTAGGTGTTTCTAGATCTTGTGAATGCGGAATTTTGTGTTGGAAAACAAAGTTTAGAAAAAGAGGAAGAGGGAGAGATTAATGAATTAAGAGAGAATTAGAGAATTAATGAATGCGAATGAAAACTGATTGTAGGTGAATATTCGTGAGAACTGCTGAATGAAAACGGAGTTTTTAATACGTTATTTATAGAGAAATCAGCAAAAAAGATAAAATATCAAAACAGAGCACTTGGCGCACGCAAAACGAGGTTGGCGCACGCAAAACAGAGCTGGCGCCAGCACCGGCTAATTGGCGCCAGGCGCCAATGGCTAGCACCAAGCGCCAATGCCTGGCGCCAGGCCTGGTTCCAGGCGCCAATGCCTAGAGTCAGGCGTCAGGCCTGTTTTTGACGCGTTTTCGAAAATCAGATAAGTTTGCCGTACTGGAGGATAAAATCGTATCTTTTCCTCGAAAATGCTTTTTGATTTTAATTAAAACTCTGAAAAGTCAACAAAAGTCAATTTATCAATATTAATTGAATTAGGAATGAAAAGAACCTTCTAGAAGAATCTAGAAGACTAGAACCATTCCTAATTTCATTTGGAATGATAAATCATATTCGGCCCTCCCCAAGATCATTGGGCCGTATATAAAGCTCAAACCGGGCCCAGTTTAGTAAATTGGCCATAACTTCCTCAATATTCATCGGAATTGGGCTTATAATATATCGTTGGAAAGCTCTTGTCATGCCCCATCCAACTACACTACTATTGGACCCATGTCACGGACCAAACAAATTGGATTGGCTTTTTTCTTAAAATAAGTTTTCAAAAACAGAGAGAAGAGAAAAGAAATTAAAACTGATCCGCACGCAACACTAGACTTTCCACACTTTTGCTTCATTCGATTATGATTCGACGCAAAAGGTACTCATCACTGGGTTTGGTTTTGGGGAGACACAAATGGGTGTCTACAGAAGCCCCCACTTTGATTGAGTTTGGAGAAACGCAAGTTTCAAAAAACGAAAGCCAAAGTAGCGATAGGGACGGAGAATGATTCAGAACGTTCTGCAATCCTAAATCATTCTTGCAACGCCGATACCTCTAAAACTAGCGTTAGTTAAAACAGATAAGAGAGTTAAGAAACGCGTATCTTGCACCGTCGAGCACATAAACGGCCTTGAAAGTATTCAGATTGTGTTGATATTTTAAATGCTTCGAATACTTCTCTGGGAGATTCTTGATAAACATCCTCACATAATCCTTTTCGATGGGGACCTCAATCATCTTTGCGGAAGTTTCCCTCCACTTATTAAAGAAAGAAGTAAAGCCTTCATTCTCTTTTTGTCTTAGTATCTCAAGTTGTCTATGATCGGTTTCAACTTGAATATTGCACTTGTACCTATCAATGAAAGCGTTCACTATCGATTCCCAAGTAGAGGTTTTCTCCTTGTCAAGGGAGAAGAACCATTGTTGGAAAACGGTCTCAAGAGATAGTGGGAACAGAGAGGGGAAAACCTTCTTATCGATACCCTTAATACTCATGATTGTTTCGAATGCTCTTAGATGAAAATAAGGGTTATCAGTTACCTTGAATTTAGGGATGTCAGTGGCGTTGAACTTATGCGGAAGAAGTTTCTTGTCCAGCGAGACCCCTTGTGAACTCATGCCCTGAAATTTATAGTCACTAGATAGCTTTCTTAGACTCTCTTGCATAAGGTTCAATTATTGTTGCTTCACGGGGTCATCAATCTTGAGTGTGAGTAGCTTTAGTGTCTCAGTCACGGTAACCAGTTGGTTCCTAAGATCATTGACTTCCTCTTGAGTTTCCATTATCTTTTTAGCCTTCCTCTTTTGATGAATCGGTTTATCATAAAGCGAGACTTGAATAAAGAGATTGTCCTTAATTAATCGCCCTTCTCTCCTCGACCAAGTACTGTGGAAAAAGAATTTGGGGATATTTATTTTTAATTATTTGACTAAAACTTTATTCAACATGCAATGGAAGGAGGAAGTGAAGAAAGATTGGAAGAGAATGTGAAGAAGATTTAGATGGAGAGATATGAAGAATTAGGAATAGAATGTACCCCCAACTCAAATGACGGAAAAGACCGACTCATGCATGAAACTAAGACATGGTCATGGTGATGTGTACTCAAAGTGTGTGCTAAGACTAGTGAGTTTAGATAGTACGTTAAGACTCATGCCATGACCATGTGGCTAGACTATGTGACTAGACTCAAGCAAAGACTAAGTTAAGACTTCATGTATATGCATTAAACTTGACAGACTGTGGTATTTTAGTCATAACTTTTGATCTGTGACCCTGATTTAGATGAAACCAATGCCAAATTAAAGATAAAACTTGGGGCTACAGATCCATAGTTGTACGACTCGTAGTTCTTCCTAGAACTCCGGCTATGAGCAAAACAAGTTTTCATTTGTGCAGTATACGGGAATAAAAAATCCGGGTTGACTTAAAGGAACTATGACTCGATTTTAGGTATATTTATTAGCTCAAATTAATTAATTAAATAATTAAACAAAGTCCTTTAGTCATTAATCAGTTTATTTAGTCTTAACACAAGTCAAACAAACGTTAGGAAAAATCACATAAAGTATGCACAACAAATAATGCACAATTAGTCAAGTAGACACAATATGATGCAATGAGTTTGCAACCTAACCATGGCTCTAGTTCTCTAATGTTCGGGATATGGTTTAGTCAAAGAGGGTCCATGGTTAATTGTCCAGATGCACCGCGTTGAAGCCTAACCGTGAAGGGTTGGCGCGAGTGGATGGGACACCGCGAGTTTAGAAAAACTCGCTTCCATGGTTTGATGAATTCAACATCTCGGTTGTACCCTTTGTTTCACGGAGCGTTCAATCGAGTAGATGGAGCATGAATTCCCAGAGGGTTATGTCCATATGTAGAACACATATGGGTTTCAGAAAAGTGAGAAAAAATTCAATCAGAAAGTAGGATCGAGCAAACAATACGAAAAACAGGTCGAAATTAGAACGCATATTTCTGGCTCGGTATTGGGGCAAATTGGCGCCAGCAATCAGAGACTGGCACCAGCTTTTAACTGTAGCGCCTGGCGCCAATACTG